GGAAGGACCCCACACTAGAGCAGGGGAAGAGCGTGAGGAGTCTTCCCCTTCTTCCCCCTGTGGGGAAAGAAGTGGTAGAGACAATGTGATGAACTGACGACAGCTCCCACTTCCCAAAACCTTGCACTGGTGTAAAGTGAAGGGAGAGAAGTCCAGGAAAAAGGGAGGGGAGAAGGTGTTTTAAGATTTGGGGTTTTTTTTCTCATTATCTTGCTCTGATTTGATTGGTAATAAACTAAACTAATGCCCCTCAGTTAACTCTGTCTTGCCTGTTATGGTGACCAGTGAGTAATCGCTCCCTTTCCTTATCTCGACCCGTGAGCCTTTCATTGTATTTTCCCTACCCTGCCCAGTTGAGGAGGGTGGTGATAGAAGCTTTGGTGGGCACCTGGTGTCCAGCCAGGGTCAGTGCAGTACATACCTTTAAAACAGGGACTTCACCTGGTTCTCAGGATTAGCTGGTAGCATTTAGGTGAATAATCAGTACAAGTCTGTCTTGTCGTGCAACATTTAATCCTAGAACACGTGTTTAATACAGCGTAGTTTTCTAAAGGGAGTCATAGAAGGTAAATTATTAAGTGATCTCAGCGTCACACAAAATTGTCATCTCTGATATGATCCACTGGATTTTTTTTGCTTTCTAAAAGACAGGAAAAGTGGCAGGAAAGGAGAGATCAAACCTGCAAAGTTAGAGTATCATTTGATACAAATTCAGCTGACAACTGAAACAGATCACTCCTTTCCTGGCTAAAGCCATGTCCCTTATAGTAATGAAGAATCATATTGGACATGGAAAGGAGCATGGTCAAGTGCACTCTAGTTTCAGCTATAAAGATTTCATAATTAGTCTGAGAGGGAGAAGTGAAACAATATATAACATATTTGCATGGTTTGACACATTCCTAGCTATGATATTCAGAATTGCATGGCATTCTAAGGAAGCATCAAGTTGCTTTTGATTTTTTTTTTATTTTATTTTTAGTTATAGTTTTTCAGTTTAAAAACTACAGGGCACTGTTCATTCTTGTAAAGAATTTATAGGAAGATTCAAAGCTGCAGAACTTTGTACAAACTAATTTGCATTTCAAAGCAGTGGAGATGGTTGTTTTGGGTGAGATCACACAGAACTATTAACTAATAACTTTAATGAGCTTTCATAATTGCATAGCTGAACTTTGACTAGGATCCTCTTTTGAAAAAGTATCAACCAACAGTAACTTGACTCTTGACACTTTGGACTTGAGAAACAGAGCCAGAGAAAGAAAAAAAAGAAAGTAATTAGTTCATTTTTATTTTTTAATGAGGAATTCCTTTATATATGTAATTTCCTAGAGTTTATTAAAGCATTATAAATACTTCATAAAGGTTGTAAAAACAATTTTACAGGTTCTCATTCACATTCAAGCATAGAGAAACTGTCAGTTCATAATTATTTATTATGTTTTTTGAATTTTGGGCCTAATAAGCTATAATTTTAGAGAAGCAGTCTCTAGTGCAATACATGGTACAATCACAAAGTACTAAGATTATACTTTTAGGTTATCTATGTACAAGTACATATATATGTACATATTTGTATGCATGCACTTTAATTTCTTGCATGTATCACAATGAAGAGAGGGATGCAAGGAAGGACAATGAGGTAATCCTGCAGATGTTTAGGGGGAATTTTTATACTGGCAAAGGATAAAGTACTTTGTGCTGGTTGTTTAAGAAAGAATGGAAAGTATCATGTTGAACAGTGACACATAATTCAGCACAGCGCCAGTGAAGTAGCCAATTAATTAACATCACACAAGTTTAAAGAAATGTGTGAAATAATTTTCACTGCAACAAATCTACCTTTTAATGACACAATTTCACTCTGATTTTTAAGGAGTAGCATTTTTGATTAATGGATGTACAGTGAGATAAGGTTACTTTTTTTATTTTTTTAATGAAGAGGGTAATTTTCCCACAAAGCAGTTCAAAGCTAAGGATGTAGTCACACATTTCTTTAGCAGGAAGCGTGATAGTATCATCTGTGTCAATGTAAATTGTAATAATAATTTTAATTTATGTTTTCTTTTAACCCGTACTTAACTCCTAACCCTAATCCAAGTAAACTTTACTTTTATGACTTGCTATTTAATATAAATTATTGGTTCTCCTTATTGAAATGTAATTCACTCCAGCTTATATCTCAGTCCTGAATCTTTCTTGCCTGCAAATGTGTACACACATATGCACACACCATTGTAGATTAATATATATCCATCTCCATATCTGTGCATACCTTTCTCAGAAGACTACTGTTAATGTCTGAAGTGCCTTATTAACATTACTTTTCTTTCTTCCAGACAGAGATAAAAAAAAAATCCTTTTATCACATTTTATACTGTCCGTTTTACACTTTACACTCCTCAGAAGTTTTAGTTACTAGGTTGATTGGATAGTTGCAAAATTGTTTTGTATTTTTGCTATCTAAAATGACCACTCTAGGCACGCTTACCTTCCACTGAACCTGTTTACCTTGTGCTTCATACATTAGACAGCTAAGGAAGGAAATGAAATCCCTGTGTGCTAGAAGTATCAGTATGAAAGCACTAATCTTACAGACTGAGTTCTGAAAGCAATAATCAGAACACCTAAAAGCCTCTCTAGACTGAATGCGTAGCAAACATCTAATTCACAGACCCCTATAGATTTCCAGTTTTAACTTAGTGCCTAATGAAGTGAAGTTTACCTCTCAAAACCTTTATCACAGCTGGACATAACTAGCAATAGTTACTTGCAAGACTACAGCTTCAGGGGGAAACTAAATCTCAGCAGGTTGTCATTCTAGAACAAAGTCAAAATGTGCTTTTATAAGTAATATCATACAGAGTAGTCTTCATCCAGGTCTCCAGTGTACATGTCAAAATCAGCATACAATTTGCCTCTTATTGTTAGTCTCTGCATAGATGTGTCAGAATGGAAATAATAAACCACATCAGTCAAGAGTGAAATTCTTCCCCAGAGTTATGAGAGGAGTAATATGTGCACCATTCATTTATGGTCAGTCAAAGAACACAATTTTTATGTGGCTCCAAATAAATTCTTGCTCACTCAAACAATCAAAACAGTTTTTAACAGTCTAAACACAACAGCTGTTGATTTCTCAGTACGATTACAATAATGCTAATGCTTACAATCCAAACCACCTAGTTTCTATTGAGAATTGTTAATGTTACAATAAGATCAGTAAATCCAAATATTTGCTCTTTTTCTCGAATCTTGAATCTCCACTCTTCTGATCATCCAGTCTGAGAGGTCAACTCTCCTCTGTCGGGCAGGATGATTACCACATTCCAACTTGTGTGCAGGGGGAGTGAGGTTTTACTGCAGCATAGTTACTGCTGGGACTTTCTTCTTCCTCAGTTTACGATTTGCTCAGTATTATTTTTATGTTTTTCAAACAACTTATTTGCTAAAATAACTGTCTGATTTCCTCATAAATTTGCTTATACCATAATTTATTTAAGTGTATTTGTCCTCTGTGTACAGGAGGATTTCTTTTACATTGTCTATGTGACAGCACATAGACAAATTACTCAAATAGAAGTTGAAAACTTCTTAAGTAGTACCCAGATGATTCTCTAAGCACAAACACACAGATAAGGGGGTGGATGCTTGGTCATCAGGTAATTTTGTCATTATGGGTAGGACCAGATGGGCAATATTCATCTGTTCAGTCCTGAGAGGTAATTACAGGTAGAAGTTATGTAAACATATTTTCAGCTAAAATGAACCCAAGTTAACCAATCCAGAAAAGGCTGAGGCACATCATAAGGCTTATTAATATCATAAAGCCAAAATCCCAATACTGTTACTCATCAAGTTGGCTGTACCATAGGAGTTAAGGCACTTCCATTGTCCTTGCTTGCAGTTTGCTTCAGTCTGAAAGTGTCTGAGACACATCTTCCTTTGATGAACACCTATATTCTTTCCTTCTTCTTTTGAAATGAGTTATTGCGTGTCTTCATTTAGTAGCTACTGGTGAAAAATTCTCTGGCCTTTGGTGACTAAACCTGAAAAGTACAGCCTTTTGATAAGGGGATTTAATTTAATAGATGTTATCTTGTCTTCTTTTATCCTCATTTTTAACCTGAAGGTGGGAATTAATAAATCGCTTACTAATTCTGATTCCCATTGAATCTGTGGTTCCTCTTTGGACATTGCACTGCTTAAACACAGGCAGATCATCTTATCTTGGTTTTTGTCCTCCTAAAAACTAGTTTACATATCTTGGAAGTACATAGAGGTATTCTGTAAAACCTTCTTAGGTCTTGGGTTCTAAAAATCACATGAAATATCTCTGTGCAGTAAAAGCAAAGAATCAATTTGTCCTTATTACAAATTCTAAACAGAGATGCACCAGTTCTTCCTTCCTCATCTGAGCCACTGTGTACGCATATGTGTGAACAAGCTTCATCTATTTATAGCTTTAATATATGCAATAAATGTTAAAGGAATCTTTTCGTTATTAAGGAGCTCTTTTTCTTGATAATACATCATTAATATTTGCCTTAAAACATTAATGGGAATAAGAAAGGCAAAAGCTTAGTTTCATATCACCTCACAGAGGTCTAATGTTGTAAACTTATCACAAATCCTATTAGCCCTTTTTGCGGAGTGTGTGGTGTTTATCTCTGGGTTAATTATAGCACTGTCTTGAGGAAAGCCACTGAGAGTGAGAAAAGACTGAAATCTAACTTTCTTTACTGTTTGCAGTAGGAAAAGCTGTTTTGTCTCCTCTGACATCTGGAGAAAAATGCTGGATAAACAGCCTCTTTGGTTAGCCCATTGATTTTGAAGGAAAATCTGCTTTTTTTTGTTGGTCTTGCCATTCACAGTAGGTTTTACTGTTTCGTTTCAAATGAAAACACGTGTGTTTGCTTTGAAATGGTACTGTAAAATTGGCTGAGTTCTCCTTTTTCTGCAGACTTAACTTCTCCCCTTTCCCATCCTCATCCCCACAGGCCCGTGACGGAGGGTTAGCCCAGATCAGTGGAGTCATGCGTCACACAGCTCTATCATGCTGGCAGCCGTTCCTGGGTCTGGCTGTGCTGCTAATCTTCACAGGCCCCACCATGGGCTGCCCGGCCCGCTGTGAGTGCTCGGCACAGAACAAGTCTGTCAGCTGTCACCGAAGGCGTCTGATGTCCATCCCAGAGGGCATTCCCATTGAGACCAAAATCTTGGACCTCAGCAAGAACCGACTGAAGAGTGTAAACCCTGAGGAATTCACATCGTACCCTTTGCTGGAGGAGATTGACCTCAGTGACAATATTGTCTCCAATGTGGAGCCTGGAGCCTTTAACAATCTCTTCAACTTGCGCTCCCTCCGGCTGAAAGGAAACCGTCTGAAGCTGGTCCCCCTTGGGGTGTTCACTGGGTTATCAAACTTAACAAAGCTTGATATAAGTGAAAACAAGATTGTCATTTTGCTGGACTACATGTTCCAAGATCTGCATAACCTTAAATCCTTGGAGGTTGGGGACAATGATTTGGTGTATATATCACACAGGGCCTTCAGTGGGCTGCTTAGCTTGGAGCAGCTCACCCTGGAGAGATGCAACCTCACAGCCGTACCAACAGAAGCTCTTTCTCACCTCCACAACCTCATCAGTCTGCATTTGAAACAGCTCAACATTAACGCTTTGCCGGCGTATGCCTTTAAAAGACTGTTTCGCCTGAAAGACCTACAGATAGAGGCCTGGCCCCTCCTGGACATGCTGCCTGCCAACAGCTTGTACGGTCTCAATCTTACTTCTCTCTCCATCACCAACACCAACCTGTCTGCTGTACCTTACTCTGCTTTTAAGCACCTGGTTTACCTGACACATCTCAACCTCTCTTACAACCCCATCAGCACCATCGAAACAGGCATGCTGTCAGATTTAGTGCGCCTGCAGGAGCTCCACATGGTGGGGGCCCAGCTGCGCACCATTGAACCACACGCTTTCCAAGGGCTCCGATTCTTACGTGTGCTTAACGTGTCCCAAAACCTGCTAGAAACCCTAGAAGAGAATGTATTCCATTCCTCCAAAAGCCTTGAGGTCCTCTGTATTAACAACAACCCTCTGGCCTGTGACTGCCGTCTCCTTTGGATTTTGCAGCGGCAGCCCACCTTGCAGTTCGGGGGTGAGCCACCGATGTGTGCTGGCCCAGACAGTGTAAGAGAGAGGTCATTCAGAGACTTTCACAGCACAGCTCTTTCCTTTTACTTCACCTGCAAGAAACCCAAGATACAAGACAAGAAGTTGCAGTACCTGGTGGTGGAGGAAGGCCAGACAGTGCAGTTGATGTGCAATGCTGACGGGGACCCACAGCCTACCATATCCTGGGTTACCCCACGTCGGAGGCTGATCACAACTAAATCAAATGGTAGAGCCACGGTGCTGGGAGATGGCACTCTGGAGATCCGATTTGCTCAAGACCAGGACACTGGGATCTACGTCTGTATTGCAAGTAACGCAGCTGGGAATGACACCTATTCGGCCTCCCTTATGGTAAAGGGGTTTACTTCAGATCGTTTCCTTTATGCCAACAGGACCCCTATGTATATGACAGACTCCAACGACACAAGTTCCAATGGAACTAATGCGAACAGCTACTCTCTGGACCTTAAGACAATATTGGTGTCCACAGCTATGGGCTGTTTCACATTCCTTGGAGTGGTTTTATTTTGTTTCCTTCTTCTTTTTGTTTGGAGCCGAGGGAAAGGCAAACACAAAACCAGCATTGACCTTGAATATGTCCCTCGCAAAAACAATGGTGCTGTGGTTGAAGGGGAGGTTTCTGGACCACGACGGTTCAATATGAAAATGATTTGATGGTATTCTGCTAGCAGTGCTTTTTCTGTGGCATTAAAATCTATTAAAACAGCCTGGCATGTGGAATCGCTGGGCAAAAGCAGCTTAATGCAGCTGTCAGTGTATCAAAAGGTTGTAGGAAAATGGAAAGACTATTTGTGGTTATACAACAGAGCCTCCAGACCTTGAGGCAGATGTGTCAGGGCCTTTCATAGAACTGGGAAATTGTACTAACTGTTTGCATTGCAAATATTGGCATTCTGGGGATATCAGCAATGAACCACTGGCTCATGCTCATGGACAATTGTTCAACATTTTCTACTGCTACAAAAGAAAAAAGAAAAAAAACAAACAAAAACCTACAGTGTAGGATTTACATACTTAAAGAAAAAGACACATTTGTCTAAAACATACTCTACAGTGACATTTGTATCTATATATCTCATTTGGTAAAACTTTGCATCCTCCCTTCTAGTTGGTTCAACACCACAAAAAAATTAGTAGTTTTTTTTCTTTTTAATCTACATCTATACTGTGTACATTTTAAAGCAATACAAATGAGAGGTTGTGCTTTTAGATATCCACCAATACTGACCCAAGTGTGATGTCACCCTTCTTTTAACTACCATCAAACTTAAATTAGATTCTTGTAGTTACTAATTAGAAATTACATAAGGTATTTTTCTCCTCATATAGAAGGCCAGAGCTGAATAATTGAGAGTAAAAACAATCAACTCTGTCGATCTTCTCTTCGTATAAATATAAGGCACGTGCCTAGTTTTGATACAGAATGGAATATTTTTTATATCTGTGATATCACACTGGACCAGTTTACTGTAACATAGCCCTGGCTCTCACCCAGGGAAGGCAACCCACTAGTCAATGCTGGCATAGAGGAGTTGAGTTCTACCTTGAAGAGAGAGAATCGGTTTTGTTAGCCCTGATTTTAATTTCAAAGCTACTGTTAAAATGTTAATGTGTACTGGGCAAAATAAAGAGCATAATACATTCTGCAGACTCCTTGGGAAATATGGTCATCTTACTATTTATACAAATGTATCAAAACATACAAACACTCTGCTACTAGGAATGAACTCTTCTCCAATGCCAAGTAAACTACAGTTGTTCATGCATAATATGGGGATTATAATACTAAAATAATGATTAAAACATGATAGCCTCAAAAAGGCTAACACTGCCAGATATAATGAACCTCTAGCCACTGTCATTCTCATCTTGTATATTTGTAGATAACACATAGACACAAAGCTAATTTCCAAGAACAGATTACTTAGCTATTCTTGATGCCATTTTAATAACGATGTGGTTATGTTTCTTTCAGGGGCAGTATCTTAGAGCAAGAGGGGTGAGTTATTCCAGATTTTAGAAATCATTTTTAATGGAGAGAAGTCAGAAGTGGAATATTAGTTCAGTACAAGTAATCTTTTGTTTGTTTTATGTCTCTAAACAAATTCTCAAAAGATTGAGAACTAAAACTTTATTCTTAATCATTAATATCACTATTCCTATTTTGAAATTCTCAGCAATTGCAAGATACGAAGTTGTTCATCACTTCTCCTTTTTCCAGCAATTAGGAACCATAAGTTTGTCCTACATGGCTGATAACAAATACAATTTTTCAATGATTGGCATAACCTGGAGTAAGGATAACAATGACTATATATATATATTTAATCAAAAAGAATATGAAAATATTATAAGACAGAACATTCGGATTAGTGTGATTTAAGAGCCCATGTCCAATCTTAATATTAGATTTCAGCACTTTGAAACCAAAGTCAGGCTGACCTATAATGGAATGCAGGTGCTTCTAAAATTAGTATCCACATTCTTTGGCAGAGATTTTCAAAGCAGGATAACGATCTCCTGCTCCTATCAAGGGAAATGTGCCAAAAGTTGTACAATCCAGCTGTGCTCCCCAGATGTACCCATAACAAAGCTGCCGGACCCAAGGCTAGACAATTTTGAGAATCTCTTTTCTTAGTGGTTGGTATTTAGTTGCATAGTTGTTCCATTTTATGTTGCCAAACTGAGGAGGTTGCAAGGGTAGTTAGAATTTTGTTCACTTAAGTTGATTTTAAGTTTAGAGCTGTGTTTTCTTGTTTCCTTTTTTTTTTATGCTCTGAACTAGATAAGTGAAGATTTATAGAGATGCTTGATCAGAATACTCTTTGTTCTATGACAGTTTGTAGAACATTAATATAATGGAATAACCCCTGACTAAATTCTAACACCAGGGAAATTATTTTTGTTGATGAAATAACCACTGCACTGACGTCCAAAACTCTACTGTACCTTAATGTGGGCAGTTAAAGAAACAAATGGGGATAAAAAAAATGTTTCTGAACTGTCCATTGAAGACATTTGCATGTGCCTTTCCCTTGTAATTGTCATTTTTTCAACTAGTAATCCATTGCCCCTGCAGTCATTTCATGTTAAATGTTAAAATCAATGTTAGAAGCAAAAAGTCTCCTAAGTTCTAGACATTTGCAGCTGATTTCTTCATATTAAATGACACAATGAAAAAAATTCTAAAAAAAAAAAAAAACAGAAAAAATGTACTTTTAGGATTAATTATGAATTGCTGTATTCCCTTATTCCCTTAGAATGATTCTTAAGTGATTGCATTGTTAGTGCACTGCAAGGATTTGTGAGCAGAAATATGCTTAGTTACCTATGTGAAATGTGTGCTGGTGATGAAAATCACCACTTGCTGTTGCTGAGCACCACCTTGCAGATCTGTCAACGTTCTGTGTATTGCCTTGAGTTCAGTCAGTATTCAGTTTTTCAGAATCAGTGTTTGCTTCCTGCCTCTAGTGATGTTCTTCTTTTTGCAGCCTACTTATTTCAGCATGGACTTGACAAGGCATATGGCATCTCTTAACAGAAGTGAGGACAGCAAGACTCAGAGACACACTTTTTATCTTGCTCCACACAGTCTCCTTTTTTATGTATCTGTGGGATACACACTCACTGTGGCTCTTTTGGGTGGATAAGGAATACAGTGCCAAGGTCGCACCTAGATAAGCACCTTTCTGGCAATTCTTTTAAGAACAGAATGGCTGAATGCCTACGTGCTTCTTGAAGGAGTCACTTCTACTTCTCTGCTAGAGATAAAGGGGACACCACAGTTTATTTTACTGCAGGGGAGAAAAAGGAGTGGGCTGTGAGGAGGCATCTGACCCACATGGCTCCCCTATCATATATTCAGAGACAGGTGGATAGTGCATACCTGGTACTAAAAGTGGGAACAAAGATTTTAAGCTACCTCTGACTTTTGTACAGGCTGGCCCCCATGCTGGCACAAGCCTGAACTTACCTGGCAGTCAGTGCAAGAAAACTCTGAGGAGCAGCAACAGTTCTGCAGAAATGGAAAAAGCAGAAAATGTCAAAACCAGCAAAGGAACTTGAGAAAGCAGGTACCAAAATATCCTTGTCATAATTCCTTTAAGAGAATGCTTGAGCCTCCCACAAATATGTTTTGAAGTCCACTTTCACAGACTAGTACTCTTCTTTCAGAATAGATGAATGTACAAGTATTTACAGAATCACACTGAATCATGGAATTATTTAGGTTGGAAAAGATCTCCAAGATTATCAAGTCCAACCTTTGACCTTGTCAATTAGACCATGACACTAAGTGCTACACCCAGACATTTACTGAACACCTCCAGGGATGGTGACCCACCACCTTCCCGGGCAGTGTATTTCAATGTTTAACAAATATTTCTGTGAAGAAATTCTTCCTGACGTCCAACCTGAACCTCGCCTGGCACAGTGTGAGGCTATGCTCTCTCATTCTGTAACTTAGTTGCCAGGGAGAAGAGACCGACCCCCATCTTACTACAACCTCCTTTCAGGTAGTTGTAGAGAGTGATGAGGAACCCCCATGAGCCTCCTTTTCTCCAGGCTAAACAACCCTAGCTCCTTCAGCAATTCCTCATAGGACTTACTCTATACATCCTCCAGCAGTTCCTTTGCCCTTCTCTGGACATGCTCAAGGACCTCAATGTCTTTCCTGCAGTGAGGGGCCCAAAACTGAACACGAGATTCAAGGTGTGGCCTCACCAGTGCCAAGTACAGAGGGACAATCCCTTCCTTGGTCCTGCTGGACACACTACTGTTGATGCAAGCCAGGATGCCATTGGCCTTCTTGGCCACCTTGGCACACTGCTGGCTCATGTTCAGCCACTGTTGACCAGTACTCTCAGGTCTTTTTCTGCTGAGCAGCTTTCCAGCCACCCTTCCCCAGGCCTGTAGCACTGCCTGGGGTTATTATGATCTGAGGGCTGGACCTGGCACTTGACCTTGCTGAACTTCATATCGTTGACCTCAGCTTCTCAATCCAGCCTGTCCAGATCCCTCTGCAGAGCCTCCCTAAGCTCCAGCAGATCCACACTGCCACCCAACTCAGTGTTACTTGGAAACTTACTGAGGGTGCATTTGATCCCCTCATCCTGGTCATTGACAAAGATGTGAAATAGGACTGGCTCCAATACTGAGCCTTGGGAACCCCGCTAGTGACTGGACACCAACTGGATATGGCACCATTCCCCACCACTCTCTGTGCCCAGCCATCCAGCTGGTTTTTAACCCAGGTGTTTTTTTAACCCGGGCATTTTTTTAGCCCAGTTAAACTTTCAATAAGTGAGTTAAAGAGAAGACTGAAGCAATGTATTAACAAAAGAGTTTGAAATTATTTTAGGATGGTTAAGACTAGCCAGCACCCCACCTCAGCCTTACTTTTAGATTTTGAGCTGGTTTGCTTTTCTTTTCCCCTTCTTTCTTATTAACTTTGCAACATTCTTTTCAGAAAGACTTTGTCCACAGAAATCTAACTTTAGTTAGATTCAGACTGGGAGGTTGCTTTTACCCTCCATTCCCACTTCACCAACCATTCACACATGTTACAGGAGCCAACAGGGTTGACAGCTCCAGATACAACTGAACTCAAACAGGAGACTCCAAGATCCCTAGAGAACTGTTGACACAAGCTGATGTCACTAAGTGGTTTTTTAACTAAACTTTTTTTCTTTTGACTTCATTGTCACACTGCCATTTGAGGTTTTCCTTATTCACATGGATGGTAGCTATCTTTTTTTTCCAAATTTCTTTCGTCTTGGTATTGAAACATCTATGACAGTAACAATTATAACATCAGAAATAAAATTAAGAGACGTTGCACACTACACCCTCAGCACCACAAATTGTAATTTAGGCATATGAGATGAAGTGAGAAGTCAACATTAATATTTAATGACAAGTCTTATCTAAACCTTGTGACAGAAGAAACTGGTGAGAAGAAACTGAGGGATGTAGGCCATGTTGCGACAGAGTCACATCAAAGACAAGTAGAAACAGTCTTTGCTACACCATACCTGGATATCAGTTTTAGACATTGGACTTTTTCTGAAAAACTTTCAGGATATGTGAATGCCAGAAGCCCACATTTAACCTATAAAAAGACAAAGTGTTGGCTGAAAATCCGGTAGAGCAAGTGACTGCTGGTTGCCCAAGTACAACAGCAGCTTCCTGCAAAGACAGACAAGAAACTATAGTCAGGCAGTTATTTTGCCTCATCCTCTACTACATTGTGTGAAAATATATTCCATTAGGCAGTAATAAAATGGACAATCCTTACCCATTTTTCTTCAAAGAATGCAACGTTTGTGTAAGGTGTAATGTAGAATCTGTTACACCTCCATCCCCAGCAGTGAAACACCCAGCAAGAGGTGAGGAAGAGGAAGCCTATCCTGATCAGTTTATTAATTATGGTTTTCCTCTGAATGGTCCCAGTCTACCTGGGGCTTGCATGATGACTGTCCTGTCCATTTCCATCATCTCAGCTCATCAGGTGGCTTGACATGGGAGTAGCAGGGAAAGAAGCACATGATCAAGTTGTCTGTCTTCACTGAACTGTAACTCTGATCTCAAATAAAAGAAAAAGCACAGCAGTAGAGTCTCAGAAATGCCAGTCTGCTGCTGCTGATTCATAGTTTTGCCGTAAGACAACATGTGGGGAAACACTGTATATATGCTTTCTGACCTTTTTTCGGTATCCTATGAGACTGATTGCTCTTTATGCTAAACAGAACCAGGGAAAAAAAATTAAAAAGAGCTCTCATCTAGTAATTTAAAACTTAATTGTACCTGAAGAAGTTAAAAGAACACTTTGGAAAAAGCAGAGGGCCTCATTGTTGGAGAATCTGTCAAGAAATGAATGAGATTTTTCAAGTTATCTAAACAATTTGGATGCCCTGTTCTTGTCACCTATAATAAGAATTAAAAACTCAACTTCCCTTGGCAGTTTAGAAGGATCATAGTTTAGTGACACATGCTCCTTTTGTCTGTCTCCTAGTTCTGCCCTCTTCCCTTCTCAGTTTCAAATGACTGTGATGCCAAATGAAGATCTCTGGGTTTGGTTAAGTTTCACTGAATGTTCACATGGCTTTTGGAATCTGATCTCAAACCAGAATCTTAAACCTCCTTCAAGCCAAAAATAAAAATAAAAATAGAAGTTTGAGTAAACCTCCTCCTGCAAGTGAAATAAATCAACTTCAGTAAAAGCCTTGCTACTGAGATAGCTACATGCCAAAAGCAATCTGCAGGGGATTTTGGGGGGGTTGGGTTTTTTTTTTATTTTTTGGGTTTTTTTTTTTTTTTTACTAGGAGCAGGTGGTTGGATATAAGGCCAGCTGAAAATAAAAATCTGTATTTATAGCATCAGCAGAATGAGGAAAGAGCTGGCATAGTCAAGAAAATGATCAGTGTTATTTCAACTTAAATTGAAGAATACTTTGTCTTTCATATTCAAATAGGTTATAGAAAAGTACAAAAGAACTGACTTTCACCTCATAATTTGATTATTTGTATTTATTCAGCAGGTACCAAAATTGTCATGAAGCAGTAATGTTGAAGTAAGATACTGAAAACAGATTTTCTACCATAGTCAGGCAATATAAATCAGGAGACACCATTCTGTTGCTCCCGGTTACACTGGAAATTTGATAAATGAATCTAGGTTTTTTACTTTCTACTAAGCAGGCTGTAGTGGAAATTAGTTTTAATTATTTCTCATCTTGTGGTATATCTTTTATTCTGAATTGCTTTAATATTTACCACTGCTAACTGAGCTGGAGAACATGAAAATGTACATTTTGGAAAGAAAGGGGGAAAAAGGTAAATGGAAATCTGTAACCTTAAAGACGTCTGCCTATTTCTAACCATGGCATTTGCAAGTCAGCAACATCATCTCCTCATACATAAGCCAAGAACAATGGCTTAAAAGTGTTGTGCATAAGCAGCTGCATACGCAGTTATGGAGATGGTTGTCAACTTGTACACACCTTAGCAATTTTAATCTTTCAGAAAAAAAATATTATTGCTTCTTAAAGAATTCATTTACGACACATTAATACCTAAAATCAAACAACACTTTGACTTCATTACACTGGGCACTGTGTAAGTAGGAAGTAAATTATACCGCTGATCTCTTGAGCTTGCAGCCATAAAGTAAGAAGTTGGCTTTTGAGCAAGTACACGTGATAACAAATCTCTCATTTTTTGTGGAGGGAGTGCCATAGTGCAGGTATATTAAAATATCATCACACTTACTAAAATCTGTTTGCAAGCACATGTAGTTCATATGTACATGTTTGTGTGTGGAAAAAAAATAGATATATTTGTTTTGTTCTTTTCTTACTTCAAGTATTAAATGTATATTGTTTTTGAAAGGTGAAAAGGTTAACGAGAAAAAATTGTGCTGTAATTTATTTTAATATATATGATCATGAATATGGATGGGAAATGAAACAGCCTTGCTGTCATGATCCATGAAGCACATGAGAATTCAGATTTGTCCATAAATTCACTTCATGTTTGAGCAAAATATACTAATATAATGGGGGGAAAAAAAAAAAAAAAGAAAAAAAGCTTTGTTTGTCAAGACAGTTGTCCTGAATGTCATTTTAAAAGTTACTTTAGGGCTTATGTCATGATGTGTATCATGCTTATCTACAATGAAACCCAAATAAATAATTCCATGGAGTGGCAAAATTTACTTGAAAAAGTGAAGAGAATTTACATTGTTTCAGCTATTGTAGTTGATCACTTTTTTTCCAAGGGGTAGTGCAGGAAACTAAGATAGGAACATTACAGTTTTCTTAACATCAGATCTTAAATCTTAGTGCAAAGTCTTCACAACAAGTTGTCATTTCAGACCTACCACTCTTTAACTGAGAATATAAAACATTACACTGAGAAAAAGAAGACTCTAGCAGGTATTTTTCATCTACTCACTCTTGTCTTCATCGCATGGACCCCTCAAACACAGAGAAAAAACTGGGTCTCATTCAAATGTGGTTTGAGGTTTATTCTCTATACCAAGTATCAGTCAGCCTGATCCCTCACTTTTACTTGTGCAGTGTGTTCAGGTAATTGATGGGGATACCAATCGGGCTAATGCTGGAAGAAAGAAAGCCTGCCACTTACCAGCACCACAGAGAGAACAGCAGTAAGATACATTTCACCAACTGTGTCACTTGGAAAGCAACCAATACTGAAAATCTGCATCTGAAACATGGTTTCTGAGGAAATCACCAGTATTCAAACTCCTCTATAACTACACTAGAAAAATTAAGTGGTGGAAGGTATACTCTGCTGAGCTTGAAAGCTATTTCAACCCCCTGAGGCTTGCCACAATCCACCAAATCTACAGCAGAGATGAGTCTGAAGAAGGACACAGGCTGTAATCTAAACTATTGCTACTCCCATTTTTCCACAGCTAGGTACTTTTACCAACAGAGAATTTTCTTTATGCTTTCTGGGATAATC